GGCTGTTGGGGACCCGCCCGTACCCAAAATTCCCAAGTCACCTCAATGAATGTCAGCACACTCAGCACCCCTATAATAAGCGAGTTCCAGCAAAAGCGGAGAAGATGCGATCGACAGAAAAAGAAGTTGATTGGCCAGCATCCAGCACGCGGCAACTAACGCCTCAGACGCAAACTGCCAAGCCATCATCGCATCAATTACGATCTCCAGTGGTGATCTCGAAACCTGTTAATAATAGTACGGATATGGTCGTACTGGGAGAGAGGAGGAGAGCTTGGGACACTTACCAACCTCGCATGCCTAATCCCATAAGGAGATCTCGCTTTTATCGCTGGAGACTGTACATGATAGAATGACTGCCAGTTAGTCCACACGTCCAAGTCTTTAATTGTCGAAATTTCATCACCGTTCTCGCGTGATGATCATGACTCGGCAATATAACTTGCTGTCCTTGGCACCCTCGGCTGACCACGTGGCTAGTTACTTCAACTAGGCAAAGGTACAGCACAAAATATAGAGACACGAGGTCATTGCACTTGTTAATCGACTGCGGATAACAGGAGCAAGACTCAAACAGCTCACGGCCCACGAGATGTTCAAGCAGCCGTCAAGCAGCGGCCGAGTACCAGCGAAACACGAATGTCTGGATCTTTTAGCTACTATGCTAAATTACAACATTAAGTTCTTCGCTGGAACAAGAAGTCGATTGGCCAGCATCCAGCACACGGCAATTAGCGACTCGGACGCGGACTGCCAAACCATCATCGCATTAACTACAATCCTCAGTGGTGGTCTCGAAACCTGTTAATTGTAGTATGGATACGGTCGTGTGGCTACTGCGGACCTTCTGGCTGATAAGCCACGGTCTCTGATGATGGGTGCGAGCGATAATCCTAAACATCGGGCTAATAAACGCCCTCTGCTAGCGATTGCATCTTCTCCTAAACTGCCTGCTGAGAGATTTTGGGACACTTACCACCCTCGTATTCATTGATAGCCGCCGCCAGCGCATCGATGGACTCAATGTCCAGGTTGTTGGTCGGTTCGTCGAGGATAAGGATGTCGGGTTTGCGCAGGGAGAGTTCGGCAAAGGCGACACGGGACTTCTGGCCACCGGAGAGGTCGGCATTCCGAATGGTATGCGCATGACTTTCAAGGCCGAACTTGCCGAGACAGCCACGAGCCTCCTGTAGAAACAAAGAAGCAAAGTCAGGATGAGGAGAAGGCAGTAAAACCGACCGCTTTCAATTGGCTTGTGAACCTG